GCCGGTATATTATACTGACACTTTGTTGACGTTGTTTGATTATTCTTATATGTTACAATGTACTATTGAGGATCATAATAAGGAATAGAAATATTACCTTAAGCGGGTATAGGTTAATGGTAGACTTGCTGATTTCCACTCAGTATGTGTCAGTTCAATTCTGACTACCCGTAAGGTTTTACCTAAACATTTTAATTTAAAACATAATAATATTATCCTAATATATAGGTTAAATTTTAAAACATTCATGAATCAATTATTTTCAATCCATGACATTATATCTAATGGTTATACAGTTGAATTCTTAGATTTATTAAGTGTTATCGCTGTATTATTTGGAATAACAGTTATAATTAACAAAAATCCTATAGCATCTTTATTATGTTTAATAGGATTATTTGCTTCAGTTGCTGTATATTTAATTTTATCAGGATTAACATTTATTGGTTTCTCATACTTAATTGTATATATAGGAGCCGTATCTATCTTATTCTTATTTATTTTAATGTTATTAAATATAAGAACGAGTGAATTACAAAGTAATAACAGTAATAGTTTACCTTTAGGTTTATTTATAGCTGTATTATTAAACTATAGTTTATTCCAATTATTACCTTATTCTACTACTATAATTAATAGTTATAACAATAAATTAAGTAATATAATCTATAACTTACCTACAAGTAAATATAGTGATATAATCGGAAATATAAACAAACAAACAGATATAAATACAAGTAATGTAATGTTCGTAACAAGTAATAATTGAGACTGTACAATAACAGAAACAAGTCATATCTCAACAATAGGAAATATAATGTATACATCATATAACATGTGATTATTTATCACAAGTATAATATTATTATTAGCAATGGTAGGTGCTATTGTTATAACAATCAAACAAGAAAAATAATAATATTAAGGGTAATTAACTCAATTGGTAGAGTATTCGTTTTACACACGAAAGGTTAAAGGTTCAAATCCTTTATTGCCTAAAGATTCCTTAACTTAATCGGTAAAGTGTATCTTTGATAAAGATATGATCAGTGTTCGATTCACTGAAGAATCAAAAAAAAAAGAGAGTTGGCTGAG